ACAACAGCAATACCAGCAAAATCCACTCCTGAGGGTGCGGCTGGCCAGAGCTGGGTTTTCCCTCAAATTGCTCTCGATAGGTGTGGGAGGGCAACCTGGAGTGTTTTCCAGGCAGGGGATTATCCACGGAAAAGGTGGAGAATTGAACCTTCTGAGCAAGACATTTTGTAATTATTTTTGTACTTGGAGCCTCCAAAATTGGGAGACCCTCCGAAAGATGCAGCTCGGTGTATCCGGCAGCGTTTGAGCTCCATGGGCAGGATCCTGCGGGCAGCGGCTGGCATAGGAGTGGTGTAACCTGGAGGCAAGTGGGACACTGGCTTCATTGCAGAGTAGGAGGGTGGAAGGAGAGACAAGGACATATCATTAGGGAAAAGAGAAAACTCATCCTGATTTTTTTTAAGTGGCCCAGGTAGAAAACCAAAAGGTCTAGAGCTGCGGTGTCTGGGCTTAAAATACAGTCACGGAGAAAATAAATGAGAATTCATTTTGCGTTTGAGAAATAGGTGTAATTAATTAGAAGACATTTATGAGTTTTCTAACAACTGGTTTGTAGCTGCAGGAAAAGCAACCGGTTAAGAATTACCCGAGTGAAATTAGGGAAGATTTTTCTGCCAGAACGTTATTGCTGGATGGCGTGAATGCAATTACAGAGCTAGGCTTGCTCCGAGTGACGTTTGTATTCCGGATAAAACAGAGCAGCTCTTCCCCACTGGCACCAAAACAAGGTAGGACGGGAAAGGAAATCTTCAGAAATATCAAAGCATCTGCCTAAGCTGACGTCAGGTGTTTTGTCTTCTGGATGTTCCACTGTTTCCCTTGGATGTCAGGTCATTACGCTGAGAAAGAGAATTCCGTGTATTTACTGATGTGCAGTGAAACGAACCACAGTAGTGGAAACAAAATGGCTTTTCCATATGGAGATGGAGACAGCGCTGTCGGTGAATAACATCGCCAAGGGACGCAGGAAGACGGACAGGAGTCTCATTTGGGCTTTTTTCCCCAAAATAGATTGGTTTTTTTTAATTTTTTTTTTTTTTATGTGTTTCAGAGTGAGGTGCTTTCCCAATGAAAAAACAACCAACCCAAACACCTCTCTGGAAATGGTCCGAGTGGCTGCAGTGAAACCCCAGCAGCGGCGTACCCGGACTGCTGCGGGAAGGAAGATGAAGACACGGTACGAGCTGGAACTACTACCCGGACTGCTGCGGGAAGGAAGATGAAGAGACGGTACGAGCTGGGACTGCGGCAGTGAAGGAGCACAGGAAGGTGTTGGAAGCACCCAAGAGAGTACCTCTCTATTTCCCAAGGACAGGAACTGATCTCCTGGCCGTAGCTGAGGTTAGGCTTTAGCTTACTGGTGCTGTTTGGAAAAGCAAAGCTCTGGAAGCCGGTCTGCCACTGCATCCTGCAGAGGCACAACGGTGAGGAGGAGGCAAGACTTTAAGGGAGCAGGTTTGGAGGGATGCTGGTATCTTACGTTCTCCTTTTCTGCATTAAGATTTGAAGGTCTGTTGATTGAGGACCCCACTATATAATTTAAATCCCCAGGGCCTGTAGATTTGGGGAACAAGTGTGGAAGACCCCAGGGTGCTTTGGGATCCTTAAAGCCTATGGATTTAATAAGCAGGCTGGTAGGGATGATAGACGGTGTCTGATTCTCCGTGCTGGGGGTATAACTCACATCAAGGCTGAGGCTCAGCAATCCAAAGGTTGAGGAGATCAATGCATTGCTGCATAGTGCAGGGCTGTGGAAAAATAACAGAAATTGGGGGAATGGGAGAATATTGTCCCCCAAAGTTCAGCTTACATCTTAAACAATGAGCTGTAATATTAGAGCAGCTTTGAGGTGATACACAGTTGCTGTTCCAAGAAACAGTTAAGGCCTGCATCTGGCTGGATGGAATGTGCAATATCCCTGAAATGGGGAGAAGAGTGGTGCGGAGGTACCACGGCTCATCCCTGTTATCAGAAGATAACAGCACAACTGCTGTCAAGAAAGATGGATCACAACTGCCTCCTCAACCACAACGGCTGGATCATGCCCTGAAGCTGAACTTTGCTCATTATAATGTCATTGTAATATGTATGACTAGAGTCACTCAAGCTCCACCTAAAAGTAAAGAACTAGTATAAAATGGCTGAAGAGAAGGGGGATGTTAGGGGCGAAGACTTCCATCGAAACGTCTGGGATCAGTTGACAGGCTGAACCTCTCTCCCCCCCCCAACTGGGACGCCGATTGGGTGAGAGCTCTGTGTTATGCGCATTTACTTACTAACATCTTGCAGCTATTGAGTATTATCACTGATCAGTTCTACTTTGTATTGTTCTAAATCAAATCTATTTTCGCAGTCAGTCCCTATCACCGGCTATCTTTGAATCTGTATCCTGTCACGAGCATCAGTATTAAAATTTGTTGTTTTAATATAAGTTTCCAGAAACTTTAATATAAGGGAGGATGACTCTTTGTTCCACTGCCGGCGAGGTCCCTGAATAGGTTAGGCAAACACCCTCCAACTTAGCGGGCTGTCCAGGATGGGCAGGCAGGTTGGATACAAGGGTCTTGTCTTTCTTGGGAAACTGGTAGACTGGTCGAATTGCTCCTGACTTTTATTGAACTGACCTCTATTGGTCAGATACTGTGTCATTCCGTGACAAGGGCCATCAGAGAATGGGAATCTATTCTCTGATCTAATCTCTCTTCTATTCCCCATCTGTCCCGTGGGGAATAGAATAGGTCTAGAGTTGCAGTAGGGAGTCGAGGCAGCTGAATCCAGCATGCCAAAGGCTGGGAGAGCTTGGAAGAGGGGACTGGTGCCATTTGCAGCCCATGCCTGGCTCATATTTTCTTTTACTGTAGGCGTTTGGTCTCAGCTGTAGCCAAAGGCGAATCAGATTAAGTCATCTATCCATTGCCCATGAGAGCAGCCCATGCTGTGAGGACCTCAGAGTCAGGAAAAGGGCAGGTGACCGAAGCCTGGGACACATCCCTTCCCGTACGCGTTCACGCTCGCAAAGTACAGGCAAAATTAGGATCTCTAAAGCCCAAAGAGGCCGGTTTCTGGCCAGATGCTGCAGGACACTGCGGATTATGAGTGAAAACAGGAAGACTTTGGTGCTTGCGTTGTGTTTTCTCTTGGTGCAGAGATTAAGCAGCAGGTGATCCAAATGAAATACTCAGGACACAAGCCCAGCAACTTCAACCCATGCTCTGACTCAGCAAACCACTCCAAGGTGGCCTCCATCTTCAGCCCCTGGATAAGTTCCACTGATTTCCCTTAAAATGTGGATGGACTTCCAGGCTGTGCTAAGTAGCAGGGATTCACAGGTGCTGTGCAAAACACAAACTGAAGCAGATGTGCTTCAGGCGAACCATGGCTCTGCTGGCTTCAGCTGTATGTCGTCAGCATTACTCTAGTGCCCAAAGGGGTAAAATCCTGCCCCAAATCGGGGGAGGGGCTTTGCCCTGGCCTGGGATACCAGCGTCCTGCTTTATGCTGGTGCTGGATTTACACCTTTTCTCTTTGTGCTGGACACCGGGAGGGCACTTCCAGCACGGCCAGACCCCGTGAGTACGGTTTTGGGTGCCTGTAGCGTTTGAATCCTTGTTTTCCTGCTACCCCGCAGCACCCGCTGACCTCCGCATCCGCTTCCCGAGGTGTGCGGGGCTGCTGAGCGGCCCCCTACCCCCTTTAACTCGCGGGCGCTTTGAAAAACAAGTTCCAATTAATTAACTACAAAAGCTGCGGGATGGGGGCGGGCGGTACCGGGGGCG